TTTTTTGCATGTTCCTCGCTGCGAGAGCCTCAGCAGACCATCAACACACATGTTCTGTGCCGACAACCTCAACGCTGTATGCATGTTCAACTAGTACGCACTCACCCTTACGACTTTTCCCCCCGCGGGCTGTCTTCCTTGCGGCTGACTCCTCCGGCGATTCGTCCTCCGAGTCCTCGCTACCTCTGCTGGAGCTATCAGCCGAATCCCCTCCGCCGCTCCTACGGCCGCGGCTGCCGGGGCTCTTCCCCGGTGTGGCCTCCATGCTGGAGTCCAAAACGCTCACCGGGTTTGAGGCCCCACCAGGCGTTCCGCGACGGTCAACCATCCCTCCCGCACCACGCCGGCATCCCCCCCCCTCCGTGTAGCCCTCAGCCTCGTCGTGCGCCTTGGGGGAGTAGACGCGCCCTCTCTGCGATCTACGGACTCCTCCACTGCCGGGGGTACCAGGCGTACTTGCGCTCATCGTGCTTTCACACTCCCCACCAAACCCGGCGCTCGCGGCGCGCCGCGCCGCACGTTGCGACGTGAGCTAATCCGAACTCGCAACCACTCCCACCTACGCTTGGCGCACTGATGCCTCGGCGGGGTTCCCCACAAAAGTCGCGCTGGAGCGACTGACTGCTGTTTCTACCACAACTCGCGTTTGAAAGCTGAGGTGTGACAACCAAGGCCGACACGCGCGGTTAACGACCCCAAAAATGTCGCCAGAAACGACCACGAGGCTTGGCCCTTGCACAACCGTTGCCTTGGGGGTGGTTAGCTGTGCTTCCGGAGTCCGTGCCGTGCGGTAGTGTACGTGAAGTGTGCGTGTGTGTGGCCGCGCGCCATCGAAATCCGAATTTTTCACACCCGAAAAAATAGACGAAAACCCCCGACGAAAGCGCAAAAAACGAGGAACGAGCTGAACTGCAAAATTCGGACGAAATGGAGCGGAGGAAGATTTTCGTTCGAATTTTAGAGTTCGTCTGTTTTTTTGGTTCGTTTTTTCGGCGGTGGAACCCCTAAATTGTTATCGGTACAATAGTTTTCACCTTGTTGCACAGGGCTAATTTTGTTGTTTACAGCACAGCTATGTCCATTTGCATGCGCAGTTGTGCTCGCCACTGTTTCATTCGGTTTGGACGGATCGACTGCTGATCGCTTCTGCACACCCGCGCTGATGGTCTGGTGTGGTCAGCACCTTGACTCCTACGTCTTGATGGCTGTGCAGCTACACGCGCTTCTCGTTGTTAGAGGAATACGAGGGAGGTCTGGTCGTACCATACTGACTGGTTGTTTGCACTGCGATGTCGGTGGGTATGTGTACCGTATGCATGTCGGATGTGTCGCGGTCCTCATTGGATGGATACATCTACATGCATTCTGCGGACACCTACACTATGCATTTGCATGTACGGTCCCATGGTTAATATGGCACAGGTGACTGATTGCTTCTTGGCATGAAAAATAACCAACAGACGATTCTTGTGGGCGTTCCACAACCAACCATAGCTGTATGGTGTTTCAGGTGTTGCATTCTAGTAACTAGTTGCCACTCTATTGAGAAAGGCCCGCCTCTGTTGCCCGGTCCTCACATCATGGAAGCACATACGTCATATCTATTGAGGGGTTTCCCCCTAGAAACTTCCCCCCAAATCGTGCTCTCGGCGGGGTAAAAAAAGTGCGTGTCGGTTGGAAATTGTGCTCTCGCCCGGCGGGAACTAAAAACGCACCGCTTGTGCCGGTTGTGTCGGTTCGAGCCGCCCCCCCTATCCAAGTAAAATGTTTGGACACGAGGCCCCAGGCCCCCTCGGGCACCTCGTCACACTTGCTCGCCACTCAAGCCTTGCTGAAATTGCTGTCGTGGCGGCTGCGCGCGACACAAACTAATGGCGCGACTGAACCGCGGGAGAGAGCGCCACGAGCGATATCAGTCATCCTCGCAAATGACCCTCCTAGCTTTGATTTGTGGCGTAGCTGGGGAAGAGGATCTGTGCATGCTGCTGTGTGTCTGCTGCTTGTACAAGTGGCGTCGCTATCACGAGCTACTTGCCCCGACCCCGCTTGAAGGCGTGCTCCCGAACCACACCTTCTTCGAAGCTATCGGGGGCTTTGACTTCAAGGAGGTATTTCACTTCGAGAAACCGCATTTCTTGCAGCTTCTACGAAGGCTGGAGCTTCCGGACAGCTTCGAAGTTTCGAGGTGAGCATGTGGCACGAAGAGTCGCAACACAGCACAAGTGGTCGCCATGTCCTTAGGATAAGGCGGGGTTAGAGGCTGCACGCTACATGTAGGTTACTTGTTGGAGCTTCTTTCTTGGCTGCAGCAGTCCTGGAGGTGTACCCTGAATCCGACAGGTAGGCTTTTTGCTGGTGTGTCCCGCTGCTTGAACAAAAAACTCGCGTACACACAAATGGTCAAGCACCCTTGAGGCAGTTACACAGTAACCGGTCGCCCCGGTGGTCTAGTGCGTAGCCTCGCAGTCTGCTACGGGCCAGCTCATGGGTTCGAGTCCCGACAGAGTGAGTTTTCTCTCGCTAATTATATCCTGGTCTCCGTTGGAAGCGACGCGCTGCAAAGCTCGTCGTTAGTAAACTTGATCGACTTTATTAGTCGCGAGGGAAGGGATTGCTGTACCCTTCTCGAGATAAAAACATCTCAGGCAGGAACCGCAGGAGGGGGTCCACCCCCCCCTCCTTGTGACCCCGGTTGGGTCGTTCGTCTAGCTGGTGGAAGTGGAGGATAGGGGCCAGAGGGGCAGACGACAGAGTCCAATGATGGGAGAAAAACAACAACAACAACATACACGAATAAAAAAATGCGCAAACGACCGAGGTCACGAACACACGGAGCACCAACGCAAGCTTCTCTAGAGCAGAAAGAAGGTGTAGGACTTGCCAAATCCGATGGCTCTTTCGGCGGCGGCAGTGGAGGGTTACGTCTAACCATAATGATCATGCTGTATCTTGAGGGAAACTTATTGCTGTTGCGCTCGTAGTACGCAACAGCGAGTGAGGATTGCGCAACTGCTGATGTACAGTGCATCAAGTAAGATGGTGGTACCTCTGACGAACGTGCTTGTCGGTGGTCGTTATTTTATGCACACCGACTTTCTATACGTCTAATTAGAAACCGTGGAGCCACCTACTCGCTGTTAGTACTAACGCCTGCCTCACCCCTCCACCATTGTGTCCTCCGGTTACAACCGCTCGTTCGTGGTTTCAGAGGAGGGTATGGCGTTACGAGGGTGCCAGCGGATGTTGCCCTCGCCCTGATACTGTAGAGGCTGTCCGCACCGCCCGCCTTGGTCCGGGATAGTTTTTTCTGGGGCATGTCCGAGACGCTGATTTGCGGGGTGTTCAACCTCACGATAGGGGCGATTCACGAGCGTTGGGGGCATTCGGTGAAGCACTTGCAGGTATGCTTTTCTCTCGAAGATCGATACCTTTTGTGAGGCCATTCACGCCAAGGGGGCACCTCTCCCGCGTTGCTTTTTTCTTTAGATGGTACTATTCGTAAGATTGCTCGGCCCGTTCGTTGGCAGCGTATCTATTGTAATGGTTGGAAGCGTGTACACGCCTTGAAATACCAGGCGGTTGACTCACCGGACGGCATAATCAAGCAACTCTGGGGCCCCACGGTAGGGCGTAGGCACGATGTGACGTTGCTTGGACAGAGTGCGGTTTCAAACGTTTTAGAGCAGTCGGTCAATGACGAGATGGGAGAACCCTACCACACATACGGTGACCCTGCATTCCAGGCGTCGCCGTGGCTTATGGTGCCTTTCCGAGGGGTGCTGACCGCCCTAGAAGAGGCATTCAATGCGGAAATGAGCGCCGTCAGGGTTTCCGTCGAGTGGGGGTTTGGGCGAGTCGTGGCCTTGTGGCCTTACATCGATTGCCAAAAGAAGCAGCAAGTAGGTTTGAGCGCGTGTGGCCTTGGGAAGCAGTACAAGGTAGCTGTCATCCTGACGAACTGCCAATGCTGCTTCTACCCGAACCAAACGTCGACGTTCTTTGGTGTGCCTCCTCCGTCTCTCCGCGCCTACCTTGCTGGAGAGGGTTGAAGGGGTTCTTACGTGCGTGTGTGTGGTGTCTGCCGGACTACGTGATCGAATGTTTGCGACTGCATGGCTTTATGTTGGTTTTACCATGCTATGGAACAAAGTGCATGACCATCACCCGGATGGTTTGTCCCCGAGCCTTCCGCTCGCGGCTATTCGCTCTTGTTGCAGAGACACACGTGTTTCAATAATCCGTGTGTTTACGGGTCCCCTTGCGGTACTATCGTCATGTCCGGGGGGACGCAAATGCGCGCCTAATTTATATAATATATATTCGGAATACTGCACGTAGCGCCCGCTCGCACAAGTGCGTTGAGCGAGGTGGTTTTTCCCACACCTCTAGCCCTTTTAAAAGGGTGCTGTAGAGCCGACTGACTCGGCTTACTGTTTAAATGTGTGTTTCCTCGCAGATTGAGAGAGAGAGAAGAAAGGGGTTGCCCCAAAGATTCGACAGGAAACGGGGACTTTGCACAATCACCAAAAGTCTCTAACCACATATCCTCCATGTATCTCCCAACTCACGCAACAGCGACTTTGGACTGTGTACTTCCGTTGATTGTTAATGCCAGTGACTCACCACTCGCGCATAGAAATACGTCCGCCAATGACCGAAACACAGCCACAAAACAAAAACAAAAAACAGGGGAAACCCGGCCACCGAATCAAAACCCCTCAGAAATCCGACGCCATCACGCCGTCATTATCACGAATGTTTCAAACGGCTGTTCTGCCACAGGAAGACAACGCGTATCCAACGCACGGTTCGCCTAACACGCCAAACGACACGTGAATCGTAACAGCCCTTCCTTGTGCAGCAAAAAATCAAAAACGAAAAAACGCCCGGACGCACCACCCCCTGGCGATGATTATGTCACCAACAATGTAGCCAGATGAACACATCAAAAGGTAATAGAGGTACAATCACGCAAGAGATGGGGAGAGTGACGTCCATAGGAAAGTAGAAACCCTCTGCATCGTCCCATCGTGCATCGAAAGAAATGAAAAAAAAGCAACGAAAAGTTTCCCGAGAGTTGGGCACAACAATAATCGGGAAAAAAATATTTAAAAAATATTGTTGCCCGCGTACAACACTTCTTACCGACCTGGACAAGAAAAACAAAAACGGTCACACCGAAGAAAAAAACAAAAAACAAAAAGCGCCCGAGTACGACATTTTCCAGCGAGCTGCAAAAAAAATACGCGAAAAACAAAAGCGCACCCGGCGCCCGCGACAGGTGGTGTCGATAGCAGGTACATAGGAGGGTGGTCGCTCAAAAAATAAAGCATGCGACCCCTTATCGCCGGCAACGATTACTTGAGGCATGGAGAAGAAAAGAATGGCACAGGACGACACGAAGAAAAAAAAAACCACAAATAAATGTCCTTGATTGAGACTTGGACACGACAATCCGCAATCAATCCCGCCGCCGTCCGCAACAAACCATGGAAGCGCGGGAGCTGCGCCCCTGACGGCGAAGGCATAATGGCGCAGACCCGACCCGCATTCCACCGTCACGGGCGCGACAGCATCTTCGTCAAGGCTTCCATGGGGGCCTCGAAGCTAACCCGCCAGACGGACGAGCTCCCAGGGGCGCAGCGGAGGATGACGACGCTCCGCGACCCGATAAACCCGGAAGGCGGACGTCGTCACTGCCGATTCGCCGTCCAGCTGGTGCCTGTCTCGTCACCCCTCCAACCTCTCTGGGCGTATTCGTCCGGGCCGCAGGTCCAAGTCCTTCGCCTGGGCCGTCAACCCCGACCGCGAGGGGACGAGAAGAAGTGCCCGAAACTACCGCCGCGGCGGCAGCTGGGGTCGGTGCCGGAGGCGTAGGTCCCCTACCGTTGGAATACTTCCCCGTCCCCATGGGGGCGGGAAACGTAGGAGCAGGAGCGGCGGGGAACGCAGGAGCGGCGGGGAACGAAGGGGCAAAGGTTCGTGCAGCCGCCGCCGCCCCTCCGGCAAACCTCTCGAACACGCTCAACATTTCGTCCAGCCGCTGCTCGATACCACCAAACCTCTAATCCAAGGCCCCAACCCCGGCTTCGACGGTGGCGATTCGTTGAGGCATGCTGGATGATACCTCCTGCTCCTGCTGGGGTTTAGGTGGCTGCTGCTGCTGCGGCGGCGGCGACGGCGGCGGCGGCGGCGGCGGCGGCAGTGCCGCCGTCGCTCCCGATCCACTCGCACCTTCTGCCTTCTCCTCCTCCCTTGCCATCTTCCTTACCATGTAACCCGCGAGGGTCTTCACCAACTCCTCCCCCTTGGCATCCTCCGACTCACACGACCTCCGCGAGCGACGCGCTGACCTCACCTGCCTCCCGAGGTTGCCCGACGCCACGGCCGTCCCTACGGCGTCCCTGCGCGTTTGCTCCTTTGCTGAGCAGCGCCCGTCGTCGTCGTCATTGTCCGAGTCTGCCGCTTCTTGTCCGCCCCCACTCCCTTCTAAGACGCCGTCCGAGCCCAACGAGGCTACGCCGGCATGGAGGGGTTCGCCTCGCGACTTCCGCTTCCGCTCACATAACCCTCCCCTAGCACCGCCTACGTCAGCAGCAGTCCCCGTTGCCGACTTCTTGCCCTTCGCCTTGACATTTTCCAGGGCCTTCTTCCGCGTTCGTTCGGCCCGATGTTGGTGCTCCGCGCTCACCCCCTTCCCTCCGTTCCCCACTTTGCACGATTCGTAAAGACGGACAGCGGTCTCGAGAGCATTCATCTGCGACTGCAATCGCACGCACAGCAACGATGATGTGGTCGGCCTAGTCCGTAATTACGGAAATCAGACCGAATTCGGGCGGAAAAGTAGGGCAGAACTGTTTTCTCTACCTACGTAGCTCAACCCTACATCGAACGGCCTATAAACAAAGCTTTCTCTGTGATGAATGTGCGTGTGTTTCTCTGCGGTGCATGTGCATGCGAGTCAACGTTTCTTATTTTTCCTGCCGCCCGCACTGTTTTCCCCTCCAGGATACCCTCCACTAAGGAAAAAAAAAAAACTCCTTCCCGCCCCCAGATACACGTCTATGTCCTTGTGCGCAGAACGCACTATGTTCAGCATGCCTCCGTGACGGTCACAAAGTACGTACCTACGTAGTCTCCGACTTCTGCGCCCACTGCTCGGTGGTCCGGGTTCCCTCTCCTGTCTTCGCGAGAGCTTTCCACTTTCTTCGAGTGGTGACGTAACCACAGTCTCTTCATCTTGTCCACCACGAGTTCCCTTCCCAAAGCCTGTCCACGGGACAACGCCGAAATTGTAAAACGATTTCTTTTGTTGGACACAAGATACCCTATGTCATGGGTGAGGAGACTTTCGCGGGATGCAACATGCATTGCGAAGACAGGAAATGAAAACAAAAGAGGGAAGGAAGGAGGGTAGGGGAGGGTGTCTCAGATAAACACAAGAAGAGGGCGAAAAACAATCCACCTTTGTTTTTTTTTGTCGGTGTACGCTCGTTTTTTTTGCCGACTTTTATTTTGACCTCTCGCAACCAGTTCAATACCGCTCGCAGCAATCAAGGGCTTAAATGGCAGACCCCAACTCACCCCAATTTTTTGCTGCTTGTTTCAGGGTTTGCTTAGGTCCGGAAATCAGTGTTTGAATCGTGACCTCCGTTGGAGGGCTCCGACACCCAGCAAGCATTCCTCGAGCGCGACCAACAACACACATGAACACGCCAAAATGTTCGTGAAACTCGGACGCTCCCGGTTTTTCGTATTGTGTCTCCGAAAATGTCATCGTTCGTCAAAAGAGCCACCCCTGACCACTACGTCGCCCATCAAACCTGACCGTCTTGTCTCTCCGGTGCGTAGAGATCTTGAGCTTCATTTTCTTCACGACCTTGTCGGCACACCTTCCCCACGCTTTCCGTAATTGGGCACGTTGCCTTTGGCGCCACGAGTTGACTTCCGTCAACACCATCCAAACGAGTTGCCTCTCCCCCTCGCGCACGAACAACCTGTCGCTTCCATCACCTGTGCAACCCAGGCAACGACGTTCAACGAGGCGCAAAACGATTTTCGTAGTGAATCGATTCTGCGACTGGTTCGTGCGAGCTGAAATAAAGGCTTTCCTATTCCCTATACGCTAAGTGAAGCACTTGCAAACACGTGAAGGCCAGCCATACAGGAGTATTACATGACCTTTACGTATTACGAAGTACATAGTAGTGCATCGGTTTCCCCAAAATATCTAGTCTATCGTATTGAATTGCAATTACTCTCGATACTTCTCAACTATACCTAGACGTACATAGCTCCAAACTACTGCCGTAATCGTGCTATCGTCCATTGTAGATAAAAAGTACGCGGCATCCCGCAGGTAGGATCCACTGCTGTAGGTTGTTGGGAAAAAAAAAAGACCGACAAACCATTTTGAAATTCTCACGGAACACATGTTAAACCTTAGACCACATGCGTAAATTTATTCGCGCATGAGGAACAATTTTCCTCACCTACCAGAGCTTTTGTCCTCATCCTCGTACTCGCCGTCCTCCTCCTGGTGCTGCTTCTCCCTCCTCCTCCTCCTCCTCCTCTTCCGCCCCGCCCGTGGAATTCTCGTTTTGGCTGGCGCTGTCGTGGCCCACGCCATTCGCGTGCGCCGAATCCAGCGAGCTATCCAGGTCCAGCGGATCTGCGGCAGTCCCTCTACGCGACCTCGCCGCGCCACGGCCTCGCCTCCCGCTGCTGCAGTCGAACGCCTCGTCAAGCGGTTTGGGCCTCGGGGTACGAGGCGAGGTACGACTGCCGGCGGGAGACCGCCGATAATCAGGGGAGGCTTCAGATTCGCTTGATCCCCCTGTGGAGGCCATATCGAATCAAAGCGACAGCAGCACCGCGAACGCGCCGGCCCCAGCGTCCACGCCCCTCTTCGCGAGGTAACCCAGCCCGAAGCGCTTGTGTGTTCGACAGAAACAGAAACGGCCCTTGTCAGGGAGAGCACCCCTTGCGAGTGTTGTCGCCGCTCCTCTCACACCGCCGGCCACTCTCACACACGAAATCGCGGCACGCTCCTCTTGCGCGGGCCACACCTACCAAAGCGCGGACCAGCGGTTCACACACTCCCCCTTCGGCAGGAGGTAGACGCAGAGAGGTAGTCTTGCTGTTGTGGCTAGATTGCGCGTTGCCTCGTTGCTCAGCAGACGTGTGAACGAAGTTCCCCTTGGCGGGCCTCTTCGCGAAAGCACAATTTTCGACCGCCTCAATTGTCCTCACTTGTGAAAAACAAATGCTCTCCCAAAAACCTACCTCCGGGGGTGCGGGCCATTTCTCGGGAGCACGTTTTTCCCACGAGAACATAATTTCGCCCCCGGAAGAACTTTTTTTGAGTGAACGGGGAAACCCGCTATTTAGCCCAAGTCAAATTCGTGCGACCGCCTGGTTGCACTTGCACGCTTTTGGTATTTGTTACTGCTGTATACATGCGCCGATGGCATTGCTAGTCGACTTACTACCGTTGCAATGGTTAGTTGCTACACGCCGTTGCTTTTTTATCAGTGCGCACGCTATTTCCTCATGACGAAAATCCCTGCACACAGAAACGCTGATGTTTGTCCACGGGAGGCTTACGTCTTGTTCTGCTGTTAAGTTTGTGCCGCTATCGACAATGTGGTTGTTAGCTGCTACACGCCATTGCCCAGCAATTATTGTACGCGCATTTTCATGAAGAAACCCCTGCACACTGCATACAAGCAAGCGGATGTTTTATCCGCCGCAGGTTAAAGTCTCGTTGGCTGTTACACGTGTCCACAACAACCAACCATGGCTATTTGGTGTTTCACGTATCAAGGCCTGCCGTTGTTGTCCGGTCCTCACATCACGTGAGTTTGTCGTACCTTATGTACAGTGGTCAAAGTCATATACGTGCGACCGCCTGGTTGTAGTTGCACGCTGCTGCATACACATACACACGCCCGCCCACGGGGCCCCAGTTCATGGCAGATATAATTGTTTTTTGTTTTCAACCGCACTAAGACTGACGCATTTTCATTGGTCAGCCGGTTGGCGCGGTCGATGATAATGATAATGACACAGTTGCAAGTGCACGCTTCTGCACACACACGCCGCCGCCGCTTGGTACACAAGCTTGCGCCGCTGTGGCACACACGGGGTGTACTGCTCAAAACATCATGAATACCTGCTTACCGCATACATATGCAATGTGGGTTGCCCGTCCATAGTTCCGCCCTCTACGATGATAGCTGCGGTACACACGCACCGCTTGTTGTTGTCCGTGACTACCGTTACGCCTTTCTGGTTGTTACGACGGTGTGGTTATTTCACATGACGCCCGCTGCACACTTGACATACTGGGTACCTTGTCCTCACATCATGGTCAAAGTCAAATCCGTGCGACCGCCTGGTTGCAATTGCACGCTTCTGCACACACCCGCCGCCGCTGCTTGTTACACAAGCTTGCGCCGCTGTGGCACACACGGGGTGGACTGCCCGAAACATCATGAATATTTGGTTACCGCATAGATAGACTGTACGTTGCCCGTCCATAGTTCCGCCCCCTACCGTGGTAGCCGCGGCGCACACGCACCGCTTGTTGTCCGTGACTACCGTTACGCCTTTCTGGCTGTTACGGTGGTGCTGTTTTTTCACATGACGCCCGCTGCACACTCACATACACCTGATGAGCTTTTCTGCTGACTGCTTTGTATGCCGTGTGCCGCTATTGTCGCACAACCCATTTGTTGGGTCTGATCGCATCTCTCTAGATATTGCAATCGAAAAGGTACTCTGACAGCAAATTGTGGATTTATTCTCCGCAAGGGTGTGTTGCGTACAGCATTTTCTTCATCCGTTGAGTGTTTCCTTGAGTAAGAATTTCCAAGATACTCAACAAATTCTAAATGAAGCCTTTGAGTAATTATTTCAATATCTACTCATGCGTACTCAGCTACTCGAGTATAATCACTTTACCTTGGGTAAATCCTTGAGTACGTATTTCACAAAGACTCAACTTTTACTAAAGAAAGCCTGTGAGTAGAGTATCTCACAAACATTCATCATCCGTACTCAAGCGTTGTAGTAGGTACTTCAAATATACTCAGCCGAACTCGCCAGCCAAGTTTGAGTATACTCTGAGGACGGCGTTCTTGGTTTTGGTAACTGATGTACTTCCACACACACCGATGAAGTTGTCATGCCTCACCGCTCCGTTGTTGGCTACTACATTCTGGTGTCCAGTTCTTGCTCACGATTGTTGGCTGCTACACGCCGTTGCCTAGCTATTGCCTCATGACGATATGCGTGAAAGACGCGCTGATGTTTTGCCCGCAGCAGATTCCATTCGATATACTCGTAGCATAGCATGGGGGTGGTATATTATCTCGCTCTCAATCAGATGCTACGCTCTCAATCAGGCGAATATGTTGTTGCCCCCAAAAACACAACGAGTTTTTCCAAACGTCTGTACGACTTTACATACCCCTACGGCCCGTCGTGGCCGAGCTGCTCTACACTCAACTCCCATCACACACAACTGGGCCACCCGAATTGTCGATCAGATTCTGCTTATAGCAAACGGGCGATGTGATCGCGACTGTCGGTAGACTTGTTTGGTGTTGCTTACTGCTGTACACACACGCCGATGTGATTGTCAGTCGCCTCACCGATACAATTCTTGGCTANGCGCCGATATCATTGTCAGCCGCCTCACAGTTACAATTATTGGCTACTTCACCCGTTGTATAGCTATCATTGCACAAGCAG